TCCTTTTTACAAAATAATGAGGTGGAAGTGAGATCTCCCAATGACTCTCTTGTTGTCTAATTTAAAATATATATTTCAGAATAAATCCAGAGAATAAATTTCTCTTTCTAATCCCACATGGGTAAATGGTATATTGGAACTGCTGTGAATATAACACGATTGTTTTGTGTAAATAGTCAAAATCAAAATTCTTTTAGGTCAAACATTTAATCGATGGTCTTATTGAAGTATATGCTTCATGGGTTTAGAAGCTGAAATTGTTCTTGGGTGAAAACTCAATATTTGCAGGAATTCTCTTTTTGCATATAATTCACAGAAAATCAAAGTGTGTAGGTCTAATTCACTTCTGATCTGATGATAATTTTCAAACTCATTCTACAAATATCTCAACCAAATTAAGCAATATTCTGTTGTTAATGGGTACATCTGAGAAAAAATGAGAATTTTTTTCTTACGAAAATTACAACTCTACTCTAGATTACCTTTATAGAATGAAAATTGATTTTAAAAAGGGGTAACTTGACGGGATGCATTGCCAGTAACTATCTCCATTGTTCTATTTATAAATTCAAAGTTGTTTTACACTAGCCCTTCTAGTTTAGTCAGGGAAGTCGATACTAAGCTGCTTTAATAAAGATTCTGCAACCAGAACTGACAGAGGGTAGGGAACAAGTGCACCAGCTACTGGGAAGTGTTCTCACTGAAAGAGAACAGGATCGGTACATGTGAGATAAACAGACAGAAAAACAGAAAGCCTAAAAGACACAAGTCTTTCAGAGCAATCAGACGATCATTTCCATATGCTGTCCCAGGTCATTTCCCTCTGTGGTGACCCAGTTTCTCTCCATATGAGAGCCCATGTCACCTACAATAAAAAGCTTTCTGGTCTCAGTCAACAGTCATCATCACCATCACACAGACATAATTGTATAATAGTCATTGTGAGGGTAACAATGTACCTGTCATGCTGGATAATTTGTAAACAGCTTTTAATTATTTGGGTGCTCTTAATCAAACTCTCTGAAAGCACGTGGTATTCTAACTGAGAGTGTTTTTGCCTGGTTTAATCAAAGATAATTTGTGCAGAAGCATCAGGGAAATATCTTGACAGAGACGGTTAACTTGCCATTATTTTTTAAAAGTGAACTACTATTTTCCCTGCAACTGTAGTCACAGCTTATGCTCAAGAAATCAGGTGTAATTTGTACCTTTTCACATTTTTAGGGTTCCCATTGGTGCCAACCACTATCCATGCTGTTACTAGGGCGCTGTACTTCAACGACAAGTAAGTATTATCATGGTTTTTAGTTAATATATTTGTAAATAAAATGTATTTGTATTGATGTCTTCTTCCCCCCTTTGATTCAGCTGCTGGCTGAGTGTGGAAACCTATTTGCTTTACATCATCCACGGCCCTGTCATGGCAGCATTAGTGGTGAGAACTGCTTTTTAAATTCATGATTAACTGTGTTATATCTGGGGATTTCTGTGAGGATGGGTCAATTATAGCATATGCATTATAACTTTCAAATGAAGCTAATTTAATGATAATCTATAGTATGAAGAATAATTTGATTTGAGTCTTCAAATGAAAAAAAATTAATAATATTAGGGGTGGGCACATAAGTTCATTTCTATATATCCCACAACAATGATATAGTTTTTTTTTTTTTAACAATTCTATAACTAACTTCTCCTAGTTAAAGGTAAAGACCAAGATGCTGAGGGATATAATGACAAAGGTGTTGCTGATCAGAAAGTGAGAGATCACAAAGTCCCCCTGCACTATTTTCTCTGGGCTCTGCCAAACAAAATCATCTTCCACTTCATCTTTGATACATGAGCCATCATCCTAATTACCAGTGATCATACATTTAAAATATTTCAGGCACTTCACATTGCTATGTTGTTTCTAACAACAGCCATTCAAAAGTAGATACATCATCAGGACATTTTACTTATTAGGAAAACTAAACCCAAAGACTCAAGTAAACTAACCCACAATCAGATGGCTAGTAAGAAGCTGGGTTAGGGGAGAATACGACTGAATCTATAGCCAAGCTCTTTATTTATACCCATGGTTTACTATGTGTTGGCCAGCGTCAGAACCATCAAATTTAATATTTAGACATTTTCCCCATTAACCACAAACATGGTATTCTGTTCAAATAAGAGTGAGGAAAGTAAAAACAGTCTGAGTCATAGACCATGTTCTGCTCCTGCATTAAAGAGGCATCAATTTATAACTGATTAAATTGTGTTATCATCCAGATTGTCTTCTAATTTTCCTGGGCTTTTAATGCAAATTTTCAGAGTAGTGAAGTACTTACTAGCCCAACTGTCTTCACAAAGACCCACTGACACGGGCCTTGAATATTTACAACTCCCCATAAGAATTCAGTTATTATTAAAGGTCTCTTTCCTTTCTTGGGCAGTAACATTTATTTCTTTTTCAGTTAGGAAAATCATTCTAATTATTTTTAAATAAATTATCAATTAAATTCTAAAAACTTTGTTCAAAACTAATCTTCATAGCCAAAAATAATTGTGCCCCACCAGAATGGCTAATATTAAAAAGTGGCCATACCAAATGTTGGCAAGGCGAAGAGCAACTGAAATTCTCATATAGTGCTGGAAGGAACATAAAGTGAAGCCACCTCTTGGGAAAATAGTTTTGCAATTTCTCATAAAGCTAAACATACATTTACCATTTGAACAGGCAATTCTACTCCTGGGTACTTATTCAAGAGAAATGAAAACACACTTTCACACAAAGACTCATATACAAATATCCATATACAAATAGTCAAATTGTGGAAACCATTCCATTTTCATCAATAGAATGAATAAACAAATAATGCATATTATTCATAGAGTACTACTCAGCATGCCCAATAAATGCTCATGTACACAACATAGGTGAATCTCATAGGTAGTATGTTAAACCAAAGAAGCCAGACACAGAAAATTACAAACTCTATTTCTATGGTAATAGAAATTGGTGGTTGCCAGAGGTGGGATGAGGGAGCCATAGAGTACAAAGGGGCAGGAGGTGACTTTCTGGGGTGATAGAAATGCTCTTTTCTTTTTGGTGGTGTTGTTACCCAGGTGCATACATTTGTCTAAACTTCTCAAGTGTAAACTTAAAATCTCCATGTTACTGAATATACATTATACCTCAACGTAGTTATTTTCTTTAAAAAAAATGTTATTTAAAAAAGAAGGCTTGGTTAGCTGTCTTCACTACATAGACTTTACAGATAAAATTTTCAGTCCTCATTTTACTTAATTAAATCATTGTGGCTGTGGGATGTATCTTCATAACAAAAAGATAAGAAAGCAAGATCTAAAAGAAAGCAAGGTTTAAAACGTTTCTTCTTTGTAAAAGTAAAACTTAACAAACAAACACCCTATTTACAGTTGAACCTAATATACTTACATGTATGGAAAAATATTTTCTCATTTAGAAAAAAATAAGGAAATATTCATTCAAGTCTGAAAAGGATCTTGGTTACACTGATACTTTGGGGCAAATTGCACAACCTCTCATGCAGTCTCTCACATCCTATGTAGGTGACATCTGCTCCCCACACTGGACAAACAAGAATTAAGGAAAGTGGGTGTCCTTCAGTGGTACTGACCTAGATGATTTTTTCATTATTAACATCATATCTTTGCAGGTCAACTTCTTCTTTCTACTCAACATCGTCCGTGTGCTCGTGAAGAAAATGAGGGAAACCCAGGAGGTCGATTCGCACATGTACCTGAAGGCAGTGAGGGCCACTCTGATCCTGGTGCCCCTGCTGGGAATCCAGTTTGTCGTCTTTCCCTGGAGACCATCCAACAAGGTGCTTGGGAAAATCTATGACTACCTGATGCACTCTCTGATTCATTTCCAGGTAAGGAAGCCAATGGTGCATTTATTTTACTACTTGCTCAGCTGGTGGATGCAAGATGATCACTATAATCAGCATATTCTCCTATAAATCTCCATGTTAAATCCAGCACTGTATCAACCAGATTGACTAGAGTTCTTTTAGCTAAATGATAGAGTCACAACAAAAAAAATAAATAAATAAAAATAAAAAACATTTCTAATGGAATATTCTTATAGCAAAGCACTAGATGTAAGTGGTTAATAATTGTTTTTCATCGAGCCTTGACTTGCAATTGCAGTAGCAAACTATTCCTCTCCAGGTTGTCTATTTATATTGATTGTTAATCAACATAATGCACACAAAAATAACTTCAACTCTATTCTTCCTCTTCTTTTTAGGGATTTTTTGTTGCAGTGATTTACTGCTTCTACAACAGCGAGGTAAGCAGGCATTTCACATCATACCACCACGCATTTATATAAAGCCAGCACTTTACAGTTTCCAAAGGCCCTCTTTGCATTTGCCCTTACTTCTACAGTTTTCCTCACATGATTTCATCACTCGCAGGATTGTGTTATTTCCACCACCACAATGTGTGTGTGGTACAATTACGGATATTATCCAGACAGGCAGCTAAGTTCTGATATCTTTGGATTGTACCATGAGCAATAGTGAAAGCTATTCTAGATTCCCGTGAAAACACAAGTCATGTCCTCATTCTCTTTAAAAGACCAAACTCCTCATGAGGGCAGAGCCAATATCCAGCCAGTTCGTACTGGTTCACTGCCTTCTTTTCCAGTTGCTTGGTGCCAGTGTCATACCACTTAAGCAATGTTTTAAAAATCACCCTGAGGTTAAGTTGCAAAACAGATTCTAAAATAAGTAACTTATTCTAAATATTTAGGTCACTAAAATCTAGAGAGCTTTATGGCCAGTGTTTTCAGGGGTTTTCAGCCAGAATTCTCTTTCTTTAAATGAAGTCTCGCGTAGGAGCCCAGTTTGTAAAACATAAAAGCAGAGCCGCTTAAATGTGTACCAAAGAATTCCCAGGACTTCAGAGAACATGATTTGAAACCTCCCTCATTTTTTTCAGGTGAGAAATCTAAACTCCAGAAAGATCATGTGACTTGCCCGATTGACTAGAGTTCTTTTAGCGTAGTTGTAGAACCAGAACTAGAACCCAAATTTCCCGATTCTTAATTGAATGAACTAAACTTTCCACTGCACTGCATTATGTCTATGATTTCTTCTGAAGCTTTGTTAGTATGTTTTATGTAGTTATATGCCACATAACTTTTAATGTAAAAGTATTTTTCATAATATTAAATTAATTCCCATTCAGAATAATTCTATACCAAGGCAAATTATATTTTAAGAGATTAAGATATTATTTTCCTGTAAGTAATTAGAAAAATTTTCTAATAATTATTGATTTATATTTAATTGATTCTCTAGTTTTTATTTTTTCAATTGAACAATATTTAGTGAGCACCTATAATATTTTGCCATTCTTTAACCTATTCCTCATCTTAAACCCCAATATTTTTGTTCCTTCTATTCTCCCTTTTACCTGGTACATTTTATTCTTTCCTTCATCCATTTATCCATGAACTCATTCTTTTATTCAACGAAAATATATAGTGCATTGACTATTGCTAGGGACTAGACTGAAGGCCTGGGATAGAAATAAAAAAAAAAAACCAACATCCTTCTGTTGCCAGCTGTTGAAATGTCTCTTCCTTAAAAAAAAAAAAGAATAGTAAAAACTAATAAATAAGGAGGGCTTAGATCACCCCATCTTTATATCAATTTCTGTGGATGTATGTCCTTGCCTTTTAAGTTGTTTCAGGTTGGCATACAAACTAAACGTTTTCATCTAAAATAATATTAATTTAAGGCTAATCTAAAAATCAGGTTCAGGAGGGGCGTCCCTTGAAAATATGAGAAGATTGCATACATTTGTAAAAATACCTCAATATTTATTATGTCTTAACTATGATCCTGTCTTTGAAGCGCCAGGCACAGAAAGCAAGCCCAGAGGTACTCCTAGCAATTGAATGTGTCTAGTTCCTTTGAATGTTACCTCTGCTTTTTGAAATAAAGAAACCATCCCATAAAATTAAAAACCACCTTAATTTTAATTAAGATCTCCTTGTCAGAGGAAGGTACAAGTGTGGCATTGCTAATAATATAAAAGTTGCACACTGTGCCAAGTGTAGTATCACAGCCCTGTCGGATTTAGGCATCTGGGTCTCAGCTGGGCCTTCTATGTAAGAGAATAAGTATTCTCTTACAACACTAAACACAGGCAGGGCATCCATCTGCATCAGAGAAGGGGCTTGGTTGAATATTAAATGTTACCAGAAAACTAGGGGACTAATATGTCAGTAATACAATGAAGATAGAGGTTTTAATTTTTATTTATTACCTATATGTTATAAGTGATTTCTATTATGGAAATAGCTTAGATAGTCAATGGATCAACTAGAACCAGTGAAGTAAGTTGGAGGATTACAGTCATACAAATCAAGAGATGACCATGAGAGCATGCTTCTCTATCAAATATTTCCTACAACAGCTCTTCCAAATATGTGGACACTGACCATCCAAACATTTCAAAAAATTATTGAGTCCTCAAAAAGATGATTATGACTATAAAGATGCCCAATTTTCCCAAGCAGTAGCTTAAAACTTGAGAGAGTACGACAACACAGTGGATTTTCTCCCTTTTCCAAGTGTCTTGCTATTGCCCTTGCATTGTGGATAAAATAGTTTGTAGATCAAAGTAGCACATGGGCGGAAGGATCTCAACTTAATGGTCACAAATTAGAGTGTGTGAAAACTAAAATTTTGTTAATTTGCTGCAACTTACCTCATCTTGCTTTGAAAAGCCCACTATACTAACCTCTAATACAGGCATACCTCATTGTATTATGCTTTTGCTTTACTGCACATCACAGATGTTGTATTTTTTATAAACTGAAGCCAAGACCCTCCACAAGCAAAAGGATTATGAGTCGCTTTATGCAATTCTCGCTTTATTGTGGTGATCTGGAATCAAATCCGCAATATCTCCGAGGTATGCCTGCAATTTACAACAGTCTCTTTCTAGAAAATATTTAGTTCAAAAGCTTTTGTTCAAAGATGTAGCTGGTCACCCAATATTATTCTGGCAGCTCACCCCTCCATTGAAGTTCATGGTAGCTCCCATCACTTCTATGGACCCTCGAGTTCCTTTCACTCCGTAGCCTCCTCAACCAAGCCCCAGACCTCTTCTGATTCACAATTCTCTCATCCGAGCCACCTGAGGAGCCCAGGATTTCCTGACCCTATCTTCACACTGTGATTCTGTCTTCAGTACGTGTCCTAGCCCCTGCCATTCCACTGCTCAGGCACCATGTTGGACATAGTACCAGGACAATGTGGGATTTCTTTCTTTGCTGGACTATCAATTTTCAGGATTATGCTTTCAGAATCAATGAGAAAAACCTGCTATACTGGGATGTTCCTATTATTCCTTGCTTTCTTTCTTCTCTCCATTTTCCCAGGTCTTCCTACTATGAAGGGAAAAATGCAAGGTCATTATGTCTCTATATCTCTCTCTCCTCTTCCCCTTGGAATTGGAAGAGCTCTGCACTGACCCCTTCTCCTTCCTGTCTGAAAGGGGCTCTCCCTATATCATATCCTACAAACTCTCTATGTCATGGTTTTTAGTAAAATTCTATTTTACTAAAAGTAAGGTTTTCACTACATATGCAAAGAGAAGCTTTTCTATTTAGAAATTCTTTCTTGCACTCAATGAAACCTGCTTTGTCAGAACAAATGTCTTTCTAGAGATTCAGAAAGGTCAGCTTTGAGACTGAAAGCTAAGCAATGACTTCTTTATTCTAGACTAGTATTCTCAAACTTAAGTGTGCCTCAGAATCACCTGGAAAGTTTATTAAAACATAGATTGCTGGGCTCCTACCAGCAGTTTCCTATTCAGAACAACAGGGATGAGGCCTAAGAATTCGCATTTCTAACAAGTTCCCAAGTGATGCTGATGCTGCTGATCTGGAGCCCACACTTTGAGAATCAGCACCCTAGATAGAATCTAATTTGTCCTTTGAGCAATGAATGACCTTGACTTAATGAATGGGGAAGATGCAAGGTGATGCTATTTAAGAAACACAATAATTAAATATTTTCAAAAATATTAACCTTATTACAAATGATGCTTATTTATTATTGTCGTTTAGAACAAGATATCCTTTCCAAACATAGGAAAGTGTATATTGAAAGGGAATTAGAAAGTCCTCATCTTGTAATCATCAAGTACCTTAAACTAAAGACTGTATAAATTCTATAAGATAAAAAAAATTCTGTAAGGTAAAGACCAGTAGAGATATTGCTGATATGTCCTCCAAAAAGGTGGGGAAAATATCAGTAACAACTTTGTGAATAATATTCAGAAGTATCCTTTAGCATTTAATTAATAGGATATAATAGGGATTCAGCTTCCAAAAGTCTTATCAAAACATTTAAAGCATGCAATTACTTTTTAACTTCCAAGTGAATTTAAAGTGTTTTTTTATTACAATTTTTGTAAGTTAATTAATTTAAAAAATAAAATAAAATTACGATTTTTAATTTTAAATTCAGATTGCAGCAGGTCTATTGAGTTGTAGTGGCAGAAAGGGAAGGATTGAAGGAGCGGGCCTTAAAATCTTTTTATTCATTGGCTCAAAACTTCTGGTGTAAACCCCACCTTCCATTTAAGTACATAAGTGCAGGTGCTTATGATGGACTTAACAGGAAAACAAAGACTAGGACAAAACTATTCGATTCCAATCTGATTTTCTTTTTTACAAAAAAAAAAAAAACTTTTTTACAAAAGGTTTTACGTAAACTGAGACCCAAATATATCAACCTTACACAGCCGGTTCATAATAGAGCCAGGTGTAATAATTATGTCTTCAAATCGTCAGACCAGGGCTGTTTTTTAAAGTTGGCAATAAAAAAAATTGATATAATCAGGGGAAACTCTAAAGTGACCTGTGTTAATTGCTTTTATAATGGGTAATGAATTCATATAGTAATTCAAAACTTTGTTCTATTCGGACGTCATACTATTTATCCCCTTGGCATCTCCTAACATTTCTGATGCTTCAGGGACAATGAAAATCTCCTTGTTTATTTATTTTTTTTATTCAATGTCCTTATTCTTGGATCCGAGCAGCATTAGGCTCAACCTGTAGTATTGTAGGAGATAATTGCCCTTATTAAAGTGTGATTATTAAAGTGTCTTTTACATGCTGCTAAGGGCCTATTCTAATATGTGTGGTTTACCAATTAAAGCAGATTGCCATCTCCATAAAAAAGGATAGGTTATAATTATAAGATACAATTATAGAGGGCTATGAACATTTCTTAGTAATAATTTTTAAAAATTAAAATAGACTTCAAATGCTTTGGCCTCATGCTGAGTTGGGTACTTCATCAATATGCATGGTGCTCCAATGGGGATTATTTTAAAAAGACAAGTGAGAAGAAACACAGGCTTCCTTTTTTTCCTGCTGGTCACTTTTACAAACTCTCTCTAAACTTATTACTGTCTACCTCAGAATATCTGTGTAAGTTTTAGTTATAAGGACAATTTCTCAACAGGGCATTTAGTGATTCCTAGATTATAAACCTGGCATGTAAGGACCTATATTTAATAGGCAGTACAGCCGAAATAAAGCCACACCACCTCTTGGCTAGTCTCGACAGGAAAATATATTGTGTAGAAATCTAAATCCAAACTCCAAAAGAGAATTGGAAAGCCACATAAATATATACTAGATTCTTGAAAAGATACTAAAGGAGGAATTTCATTGCATGGCATAAAGTAAAATTTACTCATGTTTTATCTGAAAATGTAACTAACTCAGTAGGGATGTGCTTTTCCAGATGTAGTCAGCTTATGGTTTCATATCAATCCTTTCTGATATAATCAGTCCAGTCTTTCTCCAATTCTATAGCTCTCCCTATTGCACAGATTGCAAAGCAAAAGCCCAGAAACTAGTCAGGGAAGCACAGGATCTCCTTGGGGAGTGATGTGGAAGATGAAGGGATCAATGAAAGAGGAGAGTCTGACATACTAGCATTGGAAAATATATTCTTAGGGATGATCTCCCTGTTGAGAGTGTTTTCCTTCCTTTTCCCAAAAGCTCCAACAGCACCCTTTTCCCAGTGCAAACCACAATGTGAAGAAAACTCTTTTCATTTGCATTAGCATCAGATATTTCACAGGAAGTGACAATCAAACATGATATCTGAAACTGTGTGTGTATTGAGAGTTTTTTATTTTCTTAGCACAACCATCCTCCAAAAAAATGACAGAAGACTTTCATTTTAATCTAAAGACTAAAGTCAGCAACCTGTCATAATAATGGTATAGTAATAACAGTGGCTTCACTGTATGGTACTTTAAAGTTTAGAGACCACTTTGATATGTCCTGTTACAATTTAATCTTTCAAACATCTAGGTGAAGTAGAAGAGTTATATTAAAGAAGAGTCTCAGAGAAGTTAAGTTTCCTGCCCATGATTACATGGCTAATGTGGGCAGAATTGGTTTCCTGATTCCATTCAATAGGTTTTTTTATTTTTCATGGCATCACATAAAACCCAGTGAAATGATCTAAAGATTAAAAAGGAATGAGAAGATGGTGTGATGTTATTCAATGACAACCTTTCTCTCCTGCCCAGACAATTGCTGGTGCAAAATTACAAGTGATTCTAATATTTTCCCAAAGTAGCAACCCACTTAAGCTCCAGAGCAATTCCCAGAAACATGTACTTTCTTTCATGAGAGAGCCAGCAACAGTTGTAGAGGACCAGACGTCCAGTGGCTTGCAAATCACCTCAGGGAGGAATTCAAATTCTCCAAAACCTGTGATTCTAAGTCTTATATTAAAACCCAGGGTTTCATAGTTGCATGAAAGAAAACTTTAGTTTCTCTCTTTGGTTCGCTCTAGACATTTTCAGCATCCCCACCCTAATACTACCGGACACCGTCACACTAATTAAAACATAGTCATGGATGATCGCTTTCTGCACTGGAAGAGTTGTGAACTCATTCTAGAACGAATGCTGACAACCAGTCCACAGATATTTGTTGATTAACTGCTTTATGACAAACAGCATGACAAGTTCTAGAAATACAAAGATGCATAGGACATGGTTCCTGATCTTCAGTATTTCACCATACAGGAAGAAAGAAAGACATATTAAATCTTACAATAAAAAGTAGTAAGAACAATAATGAATACCCGGATGAGTGCAACAAAAGCACAGAAAAGAGATGCCTAACTCTCCATTGCGGGTCAAGAAAAGTTTCCTGGGGAGAACAGCAGAATTGAGTCCTAAAAAGAGGTTTTAGCATTGGTGAAGGGTGGGCAAGGGGCATTTCAGGCAGAAGAAGTGAGTAGAGGCCTGATGGGAAGAAACTATACAGCTGGTAGGGGGAAATAGGTAGTTTGTTTCTTTGGGAGAATGAAGGTCAAGGGAATAAGTAGCTAAGGAACACTTTGGCAAAGAGACGAGCCAACACAGGTGAAAGCAGTGGAATGATGAAGTTTTTCACTCCTCTCACTGGCAGCATCTCTGCCTGGTGTCCAACTGCTCCTACTGGACACTAAATCCCTCCTTTATTTGCCTGGCTGAGTGGCTGAAATAGAAGCATTTTTGGTAAATAGCTAAAGAACAAAACTATCAGACCGAAACTTCATGTCACTTTTGATGTGGATTTAATTCCTTCTCCTGAAGAGAATAACCCTGACCAAGTTCAGCCCACGTGAAATATGTCACACATTGCTATCCTGAATGGCAACAGCTGAGTGCAGAAAGCTAAAATGTGTGAAGGAATACACTGTTTCCAATTCTTTTTCCCTAATAGGATGTGTGTGCCATATTGATGAAACCAAATCAAATTTCATTCATTGGATGTAAGGGCTAAAAAAAAAACCTTTGCACAAAAATAGCAAGTAACCTTGCAAATGGTACTTCGGCAAGTCTCTAACTCAGTTCTCCAATTTGCAAATTCTTCTTCCAAGACTATATTCCATAGCCAGAGCATATACTGCACCGCCCTTTAGATCAGAATTGCAGTTCAACCAACCCACCGTAACCTCTGATAAGCCCAAGAACTGTGCCCATAAACTTGTCTGGGGTCATGTCCGATAATTATCTGAGAACAAGACTCCCTTTTTTCTTTCAGGTCCAAACCGCTGTGAAGCGTCAATGGATCCAATTTAAAATCCAATGGGACCAGCGCCGGGGGGGCCGCAACCACAGGCGCCCCCATTTCCACGCTGCAGCTGCAGCTGCAGCCGCCGCGGAGGCTGAGGCTGGCGATATCCCTGTCTACATCTGCCATCAGGAGCCGAGGAACAACGAACCCGCCATCAACCTGGGCGAGGAGGGTGCTGAAGACATCCCTATGGAAATCATTGAGCAGGAGTCATGCGCTTAAATGTGAAACAAATATAGCATTGTGATTACTGAGCCTTCATGCCCTGGGAGAAAGACCAACCATGCGTTTAAAGTGATCCCCATCCTCCCAGGAGCCAAATATCATTTGTGAAGAATTATTAAGTGATTTTTTCCATAGTGAATCTGAAGAAAGTTCTTCTTGGTACTATTGCTATGGGAGACAGTCTAAGGAATGGAATCTCCCAATGCAACACTTGTGAATTCCATCTTTCATCCAGGACTGAAATGCAGGTGTAATGCAAGCAAAGTATCCAAGAAAAACACAATTAAATTGACCTAGTTCAGATACAGGGTGCTCCTTATTAATCTTGAGCCATTTATACCTTTGAAAAATTAAAATCACTGTCACTATTTTTCTTTTTAACTCTAAACTTTGAATTCGAATATTTCTGTATTTGGCTATGGATCTGATTTTTAATTTTTTTTATTTCAATCAATTCTAAAGTTACTCAGATGTTTTACCATCCACACGTGTAAACCACACAATTACAACATGACCTCTGCAAGACAAAGTAGCTTTCTAATATAGAGATGACTGAGCATATGGGGTGGAAAGACCTGCATTTGGCAGGAAGATGTAATGCTTTGAATGAAAAAAAAAAATTAGAGTCAATTTGATCGAAACATTAGGCGAGCCAATTTGTTAAACGGTCTATTAATATTGTATGCTCAGACAGGTCTTGGATGATCCCGTCCACTGGGCCGCCCTCACTGCAGTAAGGAGTTGGCCTTCGTGTTGAATGTGCTTTAGTCACTGACATTTTTAGAATGAGAGGTCACAAAGAATCCTTTGCTAAATTTTTCACAAAACTGCCAAAAATATAATTCCTAGTGGAAGAGAATACTCTCTTTAAAGAGAGTTTTCTACTTTCGGAAGTTCCAGGATTTATAAAGCAAATTACTCCAAAGTTTATAAAGCAGATTACCTCTTGCCCTTGGGTGCTATCTAGCTGTAAAACACAAATTTGTTTAAGACTGGTAATTAAAAGACTTAATAAAAAAGACATAAAAGTCCATTAACTGCCTTTCACCCAGCTTCAAAAGCTTAACAAGATCTCAGTCTTTTCTAGGAAGATCTGGTAGGGCTGATTAGAAAGCAGTGTGCAGTTGACCTCTTGTTTACTGCTATTAGCAAAACCAGAGAGAAAAAAAATGTAACAGACACAAATTTAACCATATACCAAGTTATTTTTTTAAAGTAGTTTCTCATTAAAACCCAAAATTATATTCTCCTATCTCTCTTTACTTTCTCAATATAAAATCATTAAAAATCCCTGAATAAGTCAGTATCATTACTGGCACCTGAAGTTAATTTGTGAATTTTCAACAGTAATCAGTTCCTGTTATTTCATTTGTATATTAAGTGAGGTAGATACACTGAAACCCTCCAAATCTCAAGTCTCATCTATGTCATCTTATGCCACTGCCTTTCAGAAGAGATTTAGTTGTGAAAAACAAAAAATTAATTTGTTCTGCTCACATATTGAGTGTACCACCACCCTCCCAAAAAAAGAAAAAAATTATATTCTTTCAGAAAATATTTTGGATACTAAAGTAGCTTAAGTCTCCTTTACTGAATGTAAGGGAGGAGTTAAAAAGAAGGTATTTTTCCAATCACAGTGTTTATGTAGTGATGTTTCTATTTTTGTTTACAAACATGGAAAACAGTGTATTTCAGGCAGCTCTAGTACAAATGTGATAATATATTGCTGAGATATTCTAGATGTTATTGAGCTAATATAGTAGGGGCTGAAAAAAAATAGCTTACTATAGAATTGTACATTGTGCCAAATTATGTGAAATGCTATGCTATTATATGTATAAATTAATACAGAGTATGTTATAAGCAAAAAGGTGTATATTTGCATATTTTTCTAAAAAAATACATCCTTCATTTTTTCATTCATTCATTTTGTCTCTGCTCATTTCATGTTCTTTTTCATTTCAGTCATAGTCTGCTCACATCCCATTTGCCTTGTACAGCAGGAGGCAGGGGAGATAATCCAAAAGTATAGGTTAGAAAACCATGTGCAAAAACCTTAAGGTTATTATCTTTGTCAGTTCAACCATCTTCAATGTTTAACCTGACTATACTCCATGGCACAGTTCTCACATCCTTGATAATATGAAAACCACATACGAGTGTCAGTCTATATTGTGTAAGTTTGGAAAGCACAGCAAAGAAACGTAGGCGAGAAAGTATCATATCCTTTTATTGTTCTTGGGTTTTTTCTTTTCTTTCTTTTTTTCTTTTCTATTATTCCAGGACCCGACTTGAACTGTCCAATATCACGTCAGATCATTAGAGTTGTTACAATTATCAATTTTTAATATAGTTTGAGAGAGAGACTAGGCTGAGTAAAAGGCAACTAATTAAATATCATTAGAACACAAAAAGGCCACTATTGGATTTTCAGATCTGGAAAGTATGAAAAGGAAAAAAATGAGGGTTAAATGAGAACTGTGATGGACTAATAAAGGGGAACAGGGGACATTTGTAGGTTCTTTATACTATGAGATAGCATCCAAAATTGTTGGCCTCATGAGAGCTGGAGAACTTTTTCAGGAAAGATACATAAGGGCAACATCTTTCCCTTTATGTTCCAATGTGTTGTATAAGTAGATACTATTACCCCTTTGATGTTGAAGAACAAAAGTAATTTCCCATCATTCTGTAAAATCTGATTCTTCAAGAGGGTAACTTGAACTGATATGGTCAACTGCCCACCTGCTTTGATCCCTATTATGAAGTGATCCAAAATAGGCCTTCAGGTACACATGGATATCATAGATCTTGAAGAGGGAAAGATGTTGGAAAAGACATGACAGAAATGCCATCATCATGGAACTCCAACTCTTCTCTTTCATTTCTTCATTCATTATCATTGATTCAACAAATGTTTCATATACCTTTCATTCATCTATACAAACAATATTTATTAGTTATAGTTATCATGGCAAAGTTTCTTTGCAGTGGTAACTGCTTCTTTCCTGTACCAATGGTAAAAATCAAAACCTGCTAAGTGAACCATTATCCTAAAACTATAATCACTGACACATGTGGTTTGAAGTAGTAGCCAAGTATGATCTTTCCTCTTCACTAGCACTGGGTGGGACAGTTCAAGAAACATTGTCAAAACATCTCTGCATAAAAGTTCAACGAGGACTCATTTTCTTGACAAGATCTAAAATGCTGATTCTTCCATTGCCTAGATTACAGTTCAACTGCTTATCATAGGAGTAAACATTTTTGACCTTAAATAATATTACTCACAAAAAAAGGAGATAAGAAGCCATATTTAGAAAAGCAATTAGGTAAACTCAGAAGCAAACTTCATTTGTTATTTTGAGAGAGGCGACAAGATGCCTCACTCCTAACTGAAGCTTAGTAAAATTGATTTTGCTAAACTAATCCATAATAACTTGTGTGGGGTGGGAGGATTAGGGAAATAATAACCGAAAGCATAAAGAAAAAGGGTGATGATATGTGCGTGTGAGGACAAAGGAAGGTAGAAAAACCACATATGAAAATTAAGAACTAAGTATATTTCTGGTTTTTGTTGTTCTAGATGTAGAATTAACTTCTATTTGTTATCTGTGAATAATATGGAACACTGAAGGAGAGAAACAGCCACTGAAACTGGAAATTAACTTAAATCAGGAAGATTTTCTAATATCCTATCTCCCTCCATTCGGATTAGTAAGCATCTCTGAAAGATTTCGGAGATTTTCCATTATCTTAAGCATTGATCAGACAGTTTCTTAGATCACTGATCTGTGTCCATTTTCCATTTGCAAAAATTCAATGCCTTCTATCTAGCTTTCCCAGAAACCTTCCCATTGAGACTCAAACTGTGCCCTCATTCTTCGCTGATTGACCAGCAATGGCACTGCATGTCACCGCAGTCTCCTTGACTTAAGAGATTTATTATCTTATTTTAATTTGGAGAAATTGCCTCCAAATAAAATTTCAGAGTATTACCGGTGAAGTGCTGAATAGAAATTCGATAAAACCAGTTGAGATGCCTTTAATTTAAAAAAAATTCAGAATAGAACAGGGAATTGGTCCCTATCTAATTATGGGAGTCTGGCTGATCAAAGCTAGCACCCAGAGGCCCTACACCAAAACATACACCCAGCTGCAAACTCTCAAAACTGTTGCACAGCAGGGTAGGTGGTTAGCCTGAGGGCAGCAAGCATTCCTCTGGATATAGCATTTCTCCACTGTACCCATGCATTACAGTTTCTATATGTTACCATCATTAAAAAAAGATATTATGGGCCTTAAAGTTATAGATGATATCCCTTAAATAGAAATAATTTTGAGAAGAAAAAATGAAAGAAATGGTCACCAGTCACTGAAACATTGCAGTCAACATAGACCTACAGACATTAACTTACTTACTCTTTATAACAACCAAAACTAGTTTTATCCCCACTTTAGTGATGAGAAAACTAAATAGAAGAGAAGTTGGATAATGTGTCTACCACGGTCACGCAGTTAGTAAGTGTCTTAGCTAGGATTTGAATCGTGAGTGTCTAATGCCTCTGCTATAGTGGTTTGCCTTAATGTACCATCCTGCCTCTCAAAGCAAAACTGTTCTTCCTCTTAACTATAAAGGATACCAGACAGTTGTCTCCTGGCATTTAAAAGGACAGACATTGTTTTCAATATCTATCTTTTCAGTCTAAAATTAAGTTAATTCATGGTCCACAGATTCCTTCAAATATGAGAAGTCTTCAGATATAATTTATCCTTCTATAGTTTGAAAGGATTTCTTTCTGAAGTGTTGATTTCCTTCTATAGCCAGAGAGTTTTTCACACACAGTGTTGGTTTGCAGCTTCTCCACTTCCAATGTGGTCCTCATGCAGATATTTGGGAGACAAAACATGTTTTGGGAAACATTCCATGGTCTCTCCATGGACACACCTGGCCTAACCTGAGGCCTGCTGAAGAGCTGGGTAAGAGTAGGCAAGGCTGCTCTGAACGCTATCTGTAGTTAGACTTCTACTTACTGGTTTTCAAGGATTGAGTTCTGAATAGATCAGATGGTGAGAACCATGGATATTCATTCACTCATTCTACTATGAACCAGGTGGTGAAGAGAGGTGGAGAGTGGAGAAAGCAGAGGAACTGAGAACTGTAAGGCCAGCCAAGATGGCAAACTAGTTAGAGCCATTGGCTCCCTCT